GCCTCTTCTACCTCAGTTAGGATTGTCCTTTGTTGCAGGAGTTCCTCTTATCCAGTTTTCAGTTCTGTCTCAGGGGTAATTTTTCCACAAGTAGTTGTAAATTGGCTGTGTCCGCGGGAGGAGGTGAGTTCAGAGTCTGCCTATGCCGCCATCTTGACTTCGTCTCTGAAGATGACAAATCTTAAACTCGCAATCTCAAGGGTTGGGACCCTTCAGTCAGGAACAAGTAAGGAGGTTATTGATGGGGGGAAAAGAGAAAATTGGTAGGGTTGATTTTTAAATATGCCGAAACTTTGTGTTTTAATTCAGTTATAGTTTCCATTTCTAAAGCACTCTATTATAAATCATAAAGTCCTAAATCCTGCACTTCCTTAAAAATCCCAAGGAGTATGCCCACAGCATCACTGGAGACTCACCCTCACCTCCAGGACCCCTGGTCCCTCCCACAGTGCCCCTCGACAGCACCCAAGGTGGAGTCTGTGGGAACCCGTGAACCAGGCCACAGTCAGTGAGAGGAGAGCCCTGCTTGCAGCCAGAGGGAGGGAGGAGCCCACGTGGGGGAAGGGAGGTTTAAGGTGGCTGAGGCTGGGTGGCCAGCTGTTCTCCTCACTGGAACTCCTTCTCCTGGTTCACATCTTAGAGTCTTTTTTTTTTTTTTAAGTGAAGGGAGATAGTTTTCCTTTCCGTGTACTTCAAAAACATGATTTTTAGAAAGCACTTAGTATTCCATCCTTTTAGATGTGTCATAATCTCTTTATCTCTCCCCCTATTAATGATCGATTTTTTCACAATAGAATAGTGATATAGTGAATATCTTCATATATAAATCTTTGAGTACATCTCTGATCATTTCCTCAAGGTAAATCCAAAAGTGGAATTGCTGGGCCGAAGGGTAGGCACGTTTTTAAGGATTTTGCTGATGTGTCGCCAAAAGGCTGTACTTATTTACCATTGTGATGGGTTCCGTGAGGGCTGAGATTCCTCCTGGTTTACCAACACTTTTTGTTTTCTAAATTTGTCAATCTATTGGGTGAAAATGCTGCAAAATTTTAAGTAGGAATTGCCATGACTATTAATGAGGTTGAGCATCTCTCCACGTGTTTACTGGCTAATTTTGAGTGATTTCTTTGTGTGCATCTCAATTTTTCTTTCTAGGTATTTGGCTTTTTCTTATTAACTTGACAGCAAATTTTGTACAAATATTCTTCTGCATTTGTTTTCCTTTTGCTTTTTTTTGGTTAGTATTTTTTAACATAAAAAAGTTTTTCATTTCTGCATGGGCAAATCTGTTGACCGTGTTCTTTGCTCTGGTGCTTTAAAAGTCCCTGCTCTGTCCGAAGCCAGACAAGTGTTAAGTGCCTGTGGTGGTTCTACAGCGTGATTTGTGCTCTTTACGTAATCCAGTTCATATTCATTTTGGCGCGCGGCACTAGTTGGGCTTCTACTATTTTTTCTTTAGTTGAGTGGCAAGGGTTGGTTGACCAAGCAGCCCACCTCTGTACCTGAGCCATTTACCAAATAATTCCTCCTTTCCCTCTTATTTTAAATGTCACCCAGATGATAAAGTCTCATACATTCTAGACTGCTTCTCAGCTTTATTCTCTCTTCTACTGTGACCATATATACGCTCTTCTAAAAGTTGAGCAGAATTTCCGTTTTGGAAAATACATAACTAGTTACGAACATTTTGGGAATTGGTTTATTATTCTTTACTCTGGATTCTAAGGAAAAATGAACCTTCTTGCAGAGAGTATAAGCATATGTACAGGCTTTTAAAAGTTACTGCTGTCACATGTCGAGGGACATCCCCATCGAGGCCCAGATCCTTTGCTTTTATTCTGAAATCCATGTTGAGTCTGTCATCTCCCTACCAGAGTCTTTGCCCACCTGGGGTTCAGAGTCCATGAGACTAATGTGAATGCAGGGTGTCTACATAGGGCAATGAGTCGGGTCTTGATCATTCGTTCAGACTTACAGAAAGACTGTCAGCCAAGCGATGAAAAGCCCGTGGAAGATGGTAGACGGAACTGCCACTGGAATGTGAAGACACATGTTTCCCTTGATTCACATAGTGTCACAGAGGCAGACACGTAAGAGTATAGCTCTGCACAGAGATTCTCAAATAGCTGCCAATGTACAGGATCCAGCCAGGGAACCTGTGGGCTACATACGTGTCATTCCTGGTTAGGAAGTCAGCAGAGACGGTGAATACCAGATAAGCGCCTGTCAACGTTCCCACTGGCAAAGCTTTTCAGCCCTCAGAAAAGGCTACTATAGGACAGCAACCTTGCCCTTTCCAGCTGGAATGGTATCTCAGAATCTGAAATGTCACCAGGGAGGAAGATAATCTGGTTTATAAACTGGAAGAAATGCTCAAGGAGACTGACGCAGACCCGGGTTTTGAAGCCACTCTACTGAGATTCCATGCTGAAATCCTCATGTTAAGTTAAAAGGTATGTACAGGATGGGAAGGAAATGAAGAGTTAAAGCAGGTCTCCTGTGGCTGGATATATAGTCCTCTATCGCTTAACGACAGAGATAAATTCTGAGAAATGCGTTGTTAGGCGATTTCATCATTGTTTGAACATCATAGAGTGTACTTACACAAACCTAGATGGTATAGCCTCCTACACACCTAGGCTGTATGGTACCAATCTTATGTGACCACCATTGGATGTGTGGCCCATCGTCGACTGAAACCTCATTATAAGGCACGTGACTGTACTGGGACAGTAGCAGTCCAAGAGCTCTTGCCCTGGTTGTGCTGAAATCTGCAGACTGGGAGCTCCAGGGACGTGACCAACTCCACCGTCCATCCTTGGTGAGTGATCGTGACTCACTGAGAACCCTGGTGACTCAGAGCAAGTCATCCTCCACTTCTTGGAAAAGAATGGAGGGGATTTTGCTTTTTTATAGGCATAGGCTGACCTGCTCATGTCCATGTGGTCTCCGTGGGGCACTAACGGAGCCAGAGTCTCTTTAGACCAGAGGAGGCCATAGTTGCAAGTTGGGCAAGTTAAAATGGAGCTGAAGAGGGAACCCTGCCAAGGTCTGGGCCTCGAGCATGAAGCTGGGATGTTCTCCCACTGGGTCTTGGGAGGGGTGGAGTGGCTGAGATAAGGATCAGGGAATAGGTGTCCTCAGGAAGGGGGTTGGAGGGAGACAGCCCTCCTTGGAGGCTGCAGGACATGTCTGCCCCGGGGAGGCTGGAGAGCCCAGGGCTGAGAGCACCTGTGCAGCTAGATCCCCTGACGATAGACCATCTTTCTGAGTGGAGAGCGGGTCCGTAAGAAGTAGAGTCCAGGACCCCCTGGACAAGAGAAGGCCCCCAGTCTGGGCACTGTGGTCCTCTGACCTTCAGAGAGCTTTGGGAAATGCATTGCCAGAGCCCTGCCCCAGGCCTCCCAAGACCACATCTCGAGGGGCAGGGCCCTGCCATCAATTTCTCACAAGCTCTCCAGGTATTTCTTTAGGGTGAAAAACCAGTATTGAGGGGAAGAGGGACAACAAGAAAAAGAAAGATTCCTGCTCAGGGCTCAGTGTATACAAATGGATCTATGTGACACTTGTCTCCTGCATACCCTCAGGGAGAGTGGGGTCGGGGGGCGCCCCAGGTAAAGCCCCTTGTGCTGCAGGGAACATACCGGTTTTTTTTACTTAACTGTCCCTTTAAGTAGTGCTGAAGTTTCACAATTCTTTGAACTAATCCCTTAAAAAACACCCCAAAAATGGCACTGTTCTAATCTCGTCATGCTGCGGTAGAAGGCTGGTCAGAGGAATTGTGTGTAAATCCCAACCACACATGAAGGTGCACGGCGCGTTGGAAGAACGCATCCTTCCAGGTCTTCTGTGTCATCTCTGGAGTGCGGTGGACAGCCATGCGGGGCCGGTCTTGGAAAGCAGGGTATCCTGCAGCAATTCGGGCAGCAGGGTGAAGAGGGCTAATCAATCACTTTTTGCTTCTCACACCCTGTCCATGGGACGTAATGAACCTTGCTGCAAATTGCCGGTGCCCCTGGGCTGTGATCCCGTTTGTATTTGGTAGAGGCAAGGGCATTTGAAGGCACAAGTGTGTGGGCGGAGTTTCAGGAGTGGTTGGGTGCAAAGGGTGCTTTCCATCCCTCTGTCCACGGGGCCCCAGAGTCCTGGGAGGCGTGACAGGACAGAGCCCTGGGCCCGGGGCAGCTCCTTGTTCTGAGCCTCTCATTCCCCCCTCTACCATGATGGAGGCAGGCAGAGCAGGCAGGAATGACCCTGGTGCACCCTAACCTCAGCCCCTGCTCCTCCTCTCACCCCACCTAGAGCCCGTGGGGGGAGGGAGAAGGAGGGGAGAGTGAGTCTGCATCTCCCTTACTGCTCTTTCAAGGCCCAGTTGGGTGCAGCACCCTCCCCAGTGCCACTTAAAGCCGCTTTGGGCCCATCATCACCCTGCGTGCCCAGCGATGCCCCCGTGCCTCCAGTGTCATGTCTTGGCTGGCAGATGCCTTCGCACTCGCCTAACTTGGATATTTCTCTCACCTCCTCTGAAGCTGGTAGTGACAGGTGTGAATTGTTGTTCATCATCTCCTCCTCTGCTCTCTGTTGAGCTCAGGACACCCCAGGAGGGTGGAGACAGGCACATTTGTGAGTCTGAGTTTGGAGGAGGCAGTTCAGAAGGGACTTTGTCTTCTCTCTTCTCCGCAGGAGTGATCATCAAGAGGAAGAGCGGGGAGATCCCCTGCCCCTTGGCCGTGGAGGCGTTTGCCGCTCACCTTAGCTATATCTGCAGATACGATGACAAGTACAGCAAGTAAGTGAACAGGCCGCCTCCCGCCCACAGGAGGGCTCTTGCAGGCTCACCGTCGCAGAATGGAGAAATTGGTGGTGATCACTAGTTTCTGCAGTTTGACAAGTGAAAAATGAAGACCCCGTGAGATAAATCCTGAGTCTTCATCTTGGCCTCCCAGGCTCAGCCCGTGCAGCCCTCATCACCTGGGGCACCCTGCCTCCTTCACCACCCTCTCCATCTCCCTTCCCCTTGCCCAAAGCTGTCCTTCCTTCTGCTTACTCAGTTCCTGCCTTCTCTCAATAGTTGGCCCAGACCCTGCACCCTCTGTGTCCCTCTAGCTCAGTCTGCCCTCCTTCTCCACACCCGCAGACCACTGAGCACCAGCCCCAGGCGTTGTCACGCTGAGTGTTTTCCAGCAGTGGTTACTTAATTCTTTTAAATATGGACACCTGCATCAGGTATGGTCTCGTCTTAAGTGTACACGTAGTATAGACAGTAAACACAGTGTATGTACATGCACACACCCACAATGCCATCTTCTGGCTGAGTGTCATGATGTCCATAACAGGAACTCAAGAAATGATTGCTATTGAACCTCAGTGTGACTATTACGTTACTAGGACTGAGCCTCACAACCTTGAATAGGGTAAGACTAACCTAAAAGCCAATTGGATGTTACTCAGCCGTCTTTGAGGGTAATTGACATCTTCTGGGCATTTTCATGGCAGTGAGGGAAAACCAAGGACCTAGTCTTCCCTGGAAAACTCGGCTTAGGTGTGAAAGGGAGCCCCACTCCTTACGGAGTCATTGAACAAGTCTTTATTGACTGCCTGCTGCATGCTCAGCACCTGCTGAGTTCCATGTGGTTATTACAAAGAAAACTACGTTTATTTAGTGGATATCTGTGGGGTGCCTGCTCTGTGCCAGGCATTTTGGTGGTACTGAGGATACTGACCCTCAACCACTTTGCAGTCAAGGAAGACAGAATACAGGGATGAATCCTAGGTTAGGTGGGCCCAGGAGGAGTACTGTCCTCAGTCTCAGGGGCAGAGAAGGCCTCCCTGAGGTGACATCTGTCCTTGAGCTGAAGGGAAGGTGGGGGTGGCAAAGAGACGTGCTCAGGAGGAAGGGAGCGCATTGCAGAGGCCTGGAGCTGAGGGCGAGCCTGACCTTCGGCAAGTGGAAGCAGTTCAGTATGCACAGAACACAGCATTTGAGAACGGTCCTTAGCGAGCAGGGAAGCCCGAGGGGCTGATGGGGCCCTGAGGACTTGGAGCTTGTGAGCTGCGCCACAGAAAGGCCTGGCTCCTGGTTCAGCATCTGTCTCTTCCAGTGACCCACCTCTTCCACCTGATCCTTTGGTAGGAGTTGTCTTCATCATCTTGTCTTCAGTCAAGTTCATTGTGACAAAGCCTCAGCTAGAGCCAACCCCTCAGCCTGATTCCTACCCCCACAGCTCCCCTGCAGCATCTTGCTGACCACGCTGAGACCTTTTGGGGATATCTCTCCTGAACTGGGTGCCCGGGAACCGTCTGGGTCAGCCTCTCTTATTCTCTCTGTCTTCATAGGTATTTCATTTCTCATAAACCAAACAAGACCTGGCAACAGGTATTCTGGTTTGCCATCAGCATCGCTATCAATAACGCCTACATCCTGTACAAAATGTCAGACGCCTACCACGTGAAGAGGTACAGCCGGGCGCAGTTTGGCGAGAGACTTGTGAGAGAGCTGCTGGGCCTGGAGGACACCTCTCCGACCCACTGATGCCATGGGCGCGGGCCCCAGGCTTAGGTAAGGACCAGGTCGAGGGAGGGGCAAGAGGAGGGAGAGAGCCTGCCATTCTGACCTGCCCAACCAGAGACGCCCTGGTGCGTGGCCCCAGCCTGGGAAGGGTGCTCAAGGCCTCTGCAGGGACCAGGATGGACCTGGTCGGAGGATGGCTGCTGTCCCAGTTTCTATTCAGAGAAAAGCACGTCCTCCTTCTGGGAAGCAGCCACCCACCTCAGCGCTCTGCAGGAGTGGGGTACCCAATCTAGACTCTACATGCGGCCAGTGCTGCTCTCAGTCGTGTTTTGCTCAGCAGGGTGCTCCATCCTCACGACACCCGTGGAGCCTGGAAGAGAGCTCAACTCTCAGCACAGGGGATCTGGGAGGGCTGTTGCCACTGAAATCACCAGGGATAGGATGAGGCATAGCATGTTCTGCTGGAAATGCCTGCTTTGTAAAGAGGTGAAGACATTTGTGACATGGTTTGATTTCATGCCGTGTCCAAAGGTGACAGGAAGCAAGCAGGGATGGGCTCTGTATTGCTAAGATTGTTCAAGTGTGTATAGGAGACCAGAGGCTTTGCTAGCATTTGCCTGGTGCAAGCGGCGTAGAGCAGGTCTCAGAGAAGAAGAAACACAAGCTGGGTGCCATTAAAACACGGTGATGGAGTGGGGGCGTGGTTGCCCATTCTGATTGATAAATGAGGCATTCCTGCTCGGTTTATCTGTTTGGCTGGTGGACGGGAGAAAGGGAAAGGATCCCAGTGAAGTGTGATGCTATTTTTTATTTTTAAATATATCTTCAGGTTATTTTCTTACTGTTGCTTAAGATCTTCTGTAAAAGGAAAAGGTCCCCTTCTTTGTTGTCCCCTCACCCCCTTGCCTCACCCCAGTCATGGCTCCTTGCATGATCACGATTCTGTGTTCTGTGCCCAGTGCCAGGGCCAGAAGGGGCAGCTTGCTTCCAGAACAAACGTGGTTGTACTCCATCGGGGACCACAGGGGGCCTGCTGGCCTTCAGCTCTGTCACAGACATTACCATTGGCAGAATTACTTGTTTTAAAAAATATGTAGCATTGCTGAAACAGACAGCACAGTGTCTCCAGAGATGACCACTCACTAATTCTCTTTCCCTCCTGCACAGCATTTGCCAGGCTCAGGCCATATCCTTGCACCGGTGTGGCTGGCATTGGCAAACCCTGCCGTGGGCCCAGGCTGCCGGCTTGGTTGAGTGTGGTTTCCTGTGGGGCTGGGGCTTGCTCACCGTGGGGCTGAGCGGACCACTCGACAAGCAGCTGGCAGTGAGGGCTCCACTTATTTCCCAGAACATCTGGGCTCTTTCCCAACCAAGGTTCATGTGTCTCCATGGGCGCCCTCACCAGAGTGGTCGACTGGTCTGGCTGTGCCCACAGACAAGAAACGAGTAATTTCTGGAGTTCCACGATCTCCCTTCAACCCAAGTTGCGTAGCCCCTCATTTTTACAAATGCAGATCTGTTCTACTCAGGCTTGGGGACTTTTTTCCTTGTTCACACTCAGTTAATTGGAAGTGTTGCTGGCAGCATGCTCCCGAATCCGTGTCATTCCTGTACCCAGGGTTCATGACCATCACCTTCCCCTGTGGTTTTAATTCGATGCCACGGATTGTAGGCCAAATTCTAAATTGTGTTTCAAAATACCTTTGCCGTGTCCTTTAACTGGATTGAGAGCACTTTTACCACATGGAGAAATATATTTTTAATTTGTGATGCTTTTCTACAAGTTCCACTATTTCTGAGTTTAATGTGTTTCCAACACTTAAGGAGACTCTAATGAAAGCTGATGAATTTTCTTTTCTGTCCAAATAAGTAAAAGAAAAAATAAAAGTCTATTTAGATGTTGATTCTTTGTCGATATGTGAATTTGTTTAAAAAGTCAGGGACAAAAATACAGGCTGGTCTTTTAAGACTTGATTTCTTGTTATGTAATCTGGTGTATATGACCTTAACTGTTCCTAGTATCATGAACCACTGAGTAGTTTAAAAAAGAAATTCAGTGAAGATTGACTAATAGAAATATACATTGACACCCTAGTCCTGTGAGGATAGTTGTATGTTACGAGCCTGTGCCATTGAAGAAAATACCGTGTCTGCCTCCAAATAGGTGGTTCTTCCTCCTTCCTTCTAGTCTGTGTGTGTGTGTCATTCCACATTAGCACAGAGAAGCGCTGTGGTGACAGGTGGTGGGTAACATCGCCTTACCAAGTAATTAGAGAGTAATTATACCATTTTAGAGCTCTGTTTCTAAAATGGTAGCCACTGTTTTCTGAGAAATGATTGAAAAAGACAGGAATTGAGCTGGGTTTCCAGTGGAGGTTGTGGTGACCGCTCCAGCCCTCAGGAGGTTGGGAAGAGTCTCTCTCCTCCTTCTGGAAGAGGGACAAAGTGATGTGTAATGCTGCTAGGAGAACCTGCAGAGACCTGACCTCCCTTACAGATGTGACTGTAGGAATTGCTCTCGTTAAAGTTCACCTGGCTCCTGTCTCCCTGGGTTCAAGGGCCCTTAGGCTGACACTGGATTGGCTCATTTAGTAGCTGGCCATTCCTGGTGACCAAGAAAGGGCTGGTGAGTGGTTCTCATAAGAGGGGGAGCCAGCATGGTCCCAGCAAAGGCTGTGCAGCAGGTGGGCACTGCTGCATCTCGTGGCCACTGAGACCCCTTTCCACCTGGGTCCTGCCTCCATGGCAAATGAGTCCCCTGGGGGACGTCTGTGCTACAGGGTCTAGAAAAGAAAAACGGAACATTGAGCTTCCCAGCCCGTACAGAGAAAGAACAAAACATCAACAAAGCTTCTAAGCTTCTCCAAAGAAGATCTCTCTTGACCAAATGCCACTGAAACCTGCTCTGAGCTTCACATGGTTTACGATGCAGGCCCATGATTGCAGCTGTATTCACAATTAGGTAAGGTAATTCTTAGGAGAATTTAGGTTGAATAGATTTCTGTTTGTATCTGCTGCCTGCCTTATCAGGGTCTATGTTTCATATCTGTTGTCTCCCCACACTCCATTTCCCAAAAAGCCTCAGTTTTGAACAAGGTCTTACTGTGGTCAGTGGAACATTATACTAGGGCCATGTTTCAACACTCAGGCAAGTGACATAGGAAAATCTTGGTGGCTGGATTATTCTGGGCAAAGATATCCACTTTATTGACTACGTTAGGCAAGCCCTGGCCACCAAAATCAAATGAACTCTGCAGTTGCGCCAGAGGCAAGAAGATTGCAGATTCCAGGGACTGGAAGGCTCTGGATCACCATGTGTGGCCAGGCACTGCTATCATCCACAGGAACCAGCCTCAGCGTCAGGCAGTGAGGGGGCTCTACAGCTGCTGGGGGGAAGTTGGACAGACACACATTATCAGTGAGTAACAGGAGAAATCACAAGCTTCGTTCGTTCTCCTCCAGTCTGCGTTTAATGGCAGAAACATTTCCCCACAGGTGAGAACAACTCAACGATACACCGATGGGAGGGAGAAAGGGGACTGGGTGCTCTCCACCTGTGGGGCTCACTGCACCGACCCACAGGTAATGGTTTGAAAGGCAGGCTGAGAAAGGCTGCAGAAGAGGCCATTATCGTGTGGCCCAGAGTGCTTCCTGTGCGCCAGCTCTTTTCTCTTCGCAGGAACCCATGAGGCAGGCACAGACTGTCGTCGTCCCCAGTTCACAGGTGGAGAAATGGTGAGGGGAGAGGTTCAGTGGCTTGCCCAGGTAAGCTGGGTAATTTGGGGGACACAGTCTCACGCTCAGGCTGGCGTGACACCAGAGGCTGAGTTTGAACCGTCGTGCACACTGGCTCCCCAGAGTCATCAAGAGAGTTAAGAGTTTTATCCCGATTTATTTTCTGTAGCGTATTTTCTCCTTTCTGTAGCCTGTATAGAATGAGAACCCAGATCTCTCTTCCAATCCCAAATATCACAGATGACACTGTACACTCTCATTCACATGTGTTCTTTTCTTGTCCTCCACTGAAGTGGGTGTTTTGGGACTTAATCACTGATGGAGCCCAAGTTGAGCTGAGAGTGAGCTGCAGTCTGGGAGGGCATTTGGACGAGACCAGTTCTGGGCTGCTGCAGGCCCTGAGCCAGTCACACGGCACTAGAGGAGGGGCAGGTGGGAGGGCCGGCCCTAGAATCTCCTCATAGTGCCTTGGCACCTGCCAGCTGTGGGTAACGGACCAGAGTGACTGTTCCCCAAAGTACCAGAACCGGACTCTTCCTCAGGTCTGTACACACTTGCCGGCTTGTTTCTGGTTCTGTCCCCCCAGGTTAAGCAAGGGCTCGTCAACAGTCTTGGGTGTAGAAAGCATAGCCTTACATAGGGTACCAAAGGAAAGAGAACCCCCAAAAAGATCACGATGTGGTTACCTGGGAAAGTGGCCCAGCCCCTCCCCCAGGGCTCTGCACGCTGCTTTGGAGAAGGGATCAGTCTGTGAAGGATCCTCTACTTCTGTGGCCCCTGTATCCCTGTAGCCTTGGCTGTCTCCCCCAGATGCTCTCTATCCTTATTGGGCATGTTGCTGAGACTTCCCAGTTTAGACTCCATTGTTTAATCTTTTATTCTGTGCGGCTTCTCTGAGTGTCTCATCTTTGAAAGTATTTCTAAAACTTCTTTGTGTCTAAGTATGTCATTGTCTCCTAATAAGAAATAAAAGAGGGTTTCAGGTACAGAAGTAGCACTATGAAATATCAGCAGGAAGGGAGGCTGTATCAGTTGCGCCAGGTGTACATTCTCATCTTCTACTAGCTACTGCACAAACAGAGACATTTTTTTTCTAAGTTACTTGGAAGCTTGACCTTTTGTGTCCCTGTTGGGAGCTGAAGACTGAGGAAGAGGAGAGGGATCCTGTCTTCTGTAAAAGATCTGCAGGAGAGGAGAGGGGGGTGTGCGCGGCTTATGTTCAGGTGAGGGAGCCCATGCTCCCTAAGGAGGGGGGCGTCTTGTGGCCAAGGAAGTGCAGCAGGAATGAAAGGGACCGGCTGGGCGCTCCCGAGAGATCGCGGCTTCTCTCCGCCTTTGCCGAGGAGCACCAGCTAGCTTTTGTACCTCCCTTTTTGATATTTCTCATTAATCTTTTTCATTCTCTTATTCATTCCATTGACAAATCTTCATCAAAGCCTAACTGGAATAAAAAACACTAGTTAATGTGTGTGGAGTATTCACGGTCCAGGCTCGGTTGTAGGCTCTCTGCCTGGTTATTTCATTTGATCCTCAGGGTGGCCCTC